AATTTAAAAATAATAATAAAAAAAAATCACTTTTTTAACAGCAGCTGTCCCTGCCTTTTCTCTTTTCCGGGAAGCAGGGACTGCGAACAAGGGCAGGCCCTTCCGTGTCCTGGTCCCCGCAGGGAGGGCTGCGATGCCGGCGGCGGGGCCAGCCTTGGCGAGCGCGTCCCGAGCGCAGGACACGGTGACACGGCGAAGCGAAGAGCGCGGCGGCGCCAGCCCTCGGAGCCACCAGCTCCAACCCGCGGATGTGCCACATGGGCAGGGGCTTTTTGCAGGGCTCCCAATAGCAGGGGGCAGGCGCACAGGTACCGCCTTCCACATCCAAAGTGACCCCAAAATAGACCCCAAGCGGCCCCGGCCTCGTCCTACACTTGCTGGCAGCGAAAAGCCACAAAACTCTCCCAAAAACGTGCCGTGTCCCCCTGCCCATGGGCGGGTAGCGGTGATTGCAGTGAGGTGCCCCGGTGCCAGGCACGGGAGCAGCCTCCTCTGCCGAGGAGCCCCGCGTTACCCCGAGGCAGCGGCGTTAAAGGCCTTCGCGCACCGCCTGCCCCGGCGCAGCACAGTGAAAACCAAACCGGGACCGCGGCAGCTCGGGGGACACCAAGGAGCGACAGGCCACCACGAGCGGCAAACTCGGAGCGCAATTCCCGTTCCCCGAGGAAGGGCTGCCGGACCCCTCCCACAAAGCGTCCTCTGAGAGGGAAAGGAAGGAAATCTCCCGCTTGGGGCTACTCACCCGCTGCGGAAGGAGCAGCAGAGCTGCAGCACCGGAGCCCGGACGGGAGCTGGGGCTGCGCTCGCGTTTTTGTAGCTGGTCCAGCTAGGCCAAGACGGGGAACGGGGCACAGCTGAGCGAGCGGAGCCTTCTCCTGGGGCCGCCCCGGTGCCCTCGGGGCTGGTGGCCTTTCCCTGTGCCCTGCTCCTGCTCCTTGCACTGGAGCCTCCCAGGAAGGCCGGCTCGGCAGCTCCATGGTTGGGCCGGGCTCTGTGGCCGCTCCAAGGTCTTGGAGCTCCCTTCCCGGATGCCTGGGCTCGCCCCTCGCTGGAGGGCTGCTGGGGGCTGCTAGCCCCTGCTGGGGACCAGCCACTAATGGCATGAGCAGCGCTAGGTCTCAGCGCGCCGCATGGCTCGCCCGTCACGCAGGGCGAAGCCTGAGGCTCCCACCCGGCCCAGAAACCCAGGCCAGACCTGGGTCATGTTGGCAAGCGCCAGGGCCCCTTGGTGCTGCTTCCCTGCCCAGGGAAAACGAACCGCTCCCGTGCGAGCGGATCAAGGGCAGGTCTTGCCGAGCGCAGCCATCACAGTTCGCCCCGGCCATAAATCAGGCCCCATAAAACAACATTTAAGTAAATAAACCATCGGCTTCTGACGTGGCCAGCAGTGACTAACGAGTGGTGACTCCCACCCACAGCCGGGAACCGGTGCCGTGTCCTGCTGCCTCCTCCCACCATAGCGGTACCAGGTGCCCGAACGTGTGCAGGGCCACGCGCTGGGCTGAGGGCACAGCAGCTGCCATGGGACGAGTGGCACCATGCCCAGGATCGGCAGTGCTAAGTGACCCCAGCGCGTTTGGAAAGCCCAAAGCAGGAGCAGCACCATGTGATGAGCTCGGCCAGGTCTCTGCAGAGCGGGGTGGGAGCCCCCTCGCTCCGCAGCCCAGGATGAGGGATGCCGTGAGGGATCGTGTTGGCACCGCGCGCTCCAGCACTGTTTATTGCGCAGCCTCGGGCAGCGCTGCCGCCCCACGCTCCGTGGTGGCGGCACGGAGCTCCCTGCCGCGGCCCTGCGGCTGCGGGGAGCCATGCAGCGACGCAGGGCGCTGCTGAGGCGCCGGTACGGCCGAGCCTGGGGCGCTGCGCGGCACCGAGGTGCTCTGTGGCCGGGAGAGCAGGGCCCCGGCGTCCGGGGCGGCCCCTGGCCGGCGGGGCGGCTTGTCCTTCCTCCTCGGGGAGCCTGTGGGCAATGCAGGAGGGATTCGTCTCAGGCTTCCCGCTCTGAGGGTGCCGACGTGGCATCCCCAGTGCTTGGTGCTTCCCGAGGTGCGCGAGTCCTTCCTGCAGTGCCTGGGGACACCTGCCCAGCCCCGCGTCCCCTCCAGGCCGCGCACAGAGGGCCCCCCCGCCTCACCGTCCTTCCCGGTGATGGCTGGAAGCCGCGTGTCCCTGCGGCCCTTGTAGACGTGGCCGTCCTGGCCCAGGAGCTCCACCTCGTCTTGCTGCAAGGGGAGGCGAGACGTGGGGTGGCTGCGTGCGCCTGGCTCGCCAGCGGGGGCCTCGCTCTAGGACACGCTGCCCCAGGCCTGCCCTCCCTAGGGTGACTCAGTGGAGGGGACACCCAACCGGCCTCTTCTACACCCAGCCCAAAAGGGCACGGGCCAGGCTGCGGCGGATTGCCTGAGACCGGACACAACTCATCACATGTATGTGGCTCACCCTGCACAGGCGTGCAACATCACCCCAGCCCCCCAGAGCAGCACAACCTTGGCCCAGCGCGGAGCAGCTTCCAAGGACGGTGCGGAAAACCCGGCCGCGCCGGCGGGCACGCGCCGGCCCCGCTCCCTACCTTGGCCTCTGCGAGGAGCGGGCCAGGCTCGAGCTGCCCAGGGCGGCAGCGCGCGAGGTGCCGCAGGCGG